CCGTATCTCCACATGGGTGGGTAATTCCTATTCATCTTTCAGGGCGCAGGTCAGATGCTTCCTCTGTGAAGCCATTCCTTATTTAGCCTACTGTAATCTTTCCTTCTCTGAATTGCAAAATGCTTCAGTCATTTCTTTATCATGGCAATTCACCACTTTTTATTATGTACTGTTATTATTTATTTGTGTTCAAGATTTATGTCCCTCCGTGGAATTTAGGCTCCTTGGAGATTTTCTCAAAGTATTAGTGTACCACAATGTAAAGAATATAGACAGTCCCATTTTAAATTTGGACCTCTATCAGCTACTGATCGATTATATGACTTCAGACTAAGTACTTAATCTCCACAAACCTTGGACTTCTTGTCTGTAAAATGCCTGTATTACAGGTTATTGAGAAGACTAAGTGGTAAGGGAGGTGACTGATTTAAAGAATCTAGCTAGGTTAGGTTACTTTCCCTCCTTATTCACCTTGATTTCTGTGCCATCACTCAGAATGGTACTGTACAAATATTAGATGCTCCAGAAATTATTGAATAAATTAGTAATTTCTTTGCTGTTACTAAATATATAAAGGTTACTATAATTTCTAGGCTGCTGATATTTTATTGGGCTGATTCTTTTAAAGAAATTCTTTTTTCCATTGGACCAGATTAAAAAATATTACAAGGTAGAATCTGGTGGATAATGGTGATATCATACAAACCATATTAAAAATCAAATGAATTTAAATTAGAAACATACTTACTAGGGAAAAAAGTTAATTAGCTCAGAGTTGATATCAGTTTACAGAAGGCTTTTCTTTCCTTTTCTTCTTTTTTTTTTTTTTTTTTTTTTTTTGAGAGTGGGAGAGAACAGGAGTGGTGAGAAGCACAGGGAGAGGGAGAGAGAAAGAATCCTCAAGCAGACTCCCAACTGAGTACAGAGCCTGACATGGGGCTCAATCCCAGGACCCTGAGATCTTGACCTGAGCCAAAATTAAGAGACACTTAATCGACTGAGCCATCCAAGCACCCCAGAAGCCATTTCTTTTTATCATACAAACAGAAACTAGGCTCTGAGGGCAAAAAGATGCTGCCTGACTCCAAAGCAAGCCCCTAATTTGGCAGTATAAGGTGACATGTACTCCAGGCTTACAATTTTTACTCTCATTTTAACAGATTTAAATATATTCTAGTGCCAGTAGATAAGACTATATTCCAGAGAATATAAGATTGGGAACCCTAAAATTAGACTGTGACCTAAGGACTAGTTTTAAAACTTGCAGTTCATTCCAGGAGTTACAGATTCCACAAGTACCAACAAATAGTGTTGTTTCAGTATGGAAGATTTTGACAATGTTGTAAATTCTGAACCATTTGAAAAATTCAGTATAATGAAGCAATTTTTAATAATCTTATAGACCTTCCCTTCTCCGTCTCACTTCGTCTTTTTTGAGTTTTTATTCATCCTTATTCAGTTTGTAAGTTATTATGGCTACTTCAATAGTGCATCCAAATCTCTGACTATTTAAGGATAGATCTTTAGAAGCTGGCATTATGTGTTCCTTGCCATTTATAAAAATTATGAACAGAGTTAACCTCCATATGTAGTAAAGGTAACATTTATTTATAGTAAATAACATAATAAAGAAATATTCCTAATTCACAAAGAATCCTTAACTGTAGTGCTATTTTATTTTTTTTTAAACATTTTATTTATTTATTTGAGAGAGAGAGAGAGACAGTGAGAGAGAGCATGAGCGAGGAGAAGGTCAGAGGGAGAAGCAGACTCCCGGTGGAGCTGGGAGCCTGATGCGGGACTCGATCCCAGGACTCCAGGATCATGACCTGAGCTGAAGGCAGTCGCTTAACCAACCGAGCCACCCAGGCGCCCTGTAGTGCTATTTTAAACATGATCTAAATAGTAATAGCTACCATCTGTTGAACATGTATTCAGTGCCTAATATTTTAAATATCTTTAAACCATTTTATAGTTGAAGAAACTGAGTCCCAGAGAAGTTAAGTAATTGTTCTTAGGTCACTCAGATAATAAGTGATAGAATTAGCCTTTAAATCAGGACTTTCTGAACTCAAAGAATCCTTTTGATTATTGTGCTTTACTGCCTATATGACAGTATATTCTGTCATCATCTCTCATATTTTGCATACTTCAGATTACTCTCATAACTAGTTTGTTCAGCCATCATTCAGTATTTCATATTAAACTTTCAAAATAAGCTTTGCCTCAAAGAAAACATCTAAATTTCTGAATTACTTACCAAATTAAAATTTTTTTAAAATAGTATAATAAAAAAGATAATGGTGTTTAGTGGATAGAGCAAAGATGTGGTTGCTATTCCCTGTGCTCATATAACTTCAAGAAATAGAAAGTAATTACATTTATCGGAATACATAATGAAAGCCTAAACTAAGCACTGATGTTGAGAATCAAGAGGAATAGTTATACATGAGAGAGATTGGAAAATGACATACTTTGACAGTGATTCAATGAAAGGGTGGGGGAACAGTCCCAGAGGAATTTTAAAGTCTGGTCATTCGGAGGAAAATGGTTCCACAATCCAATAGAGACTTCCGGAAAAGGAACAGATTTGGACAGGGAGGAGATGACTTCAAGTTTGCACACAGTTTGTAATTAGGCAGTGTCTAGCCTCTGCTATCCATCTAGATCCTAGCCCTTGAAATGTGGCTAGTTTAAACTGAGATGTCCTGTCCCAGATTTAGAACATTTAATATAAAAAAGAGTGTAAAATATTGTATTAATATTTTTATATTGGTTGCATGTTGAAATAATGATATTTTGGACATATTAAATTAACTGAGTTAAAGTAAGTTGTTAAAATTAACCTGTTTCCTTTTTATCATTTTTTTAATGTGGCTCCTAGGAAACTTAAAATTGCATATATGTCTTACCTTATATTTCTGTTGGACAACACTACTGTACATAGAGATTTGTAATGCATAGTTAGAAATGCAGGACCAAAAAATCAGGATGAAACATCTAGATTTGGAAATAACATATATAAAAGTGATATTTGATGTTATGAGATTAGATAAAAATGCCAGTGTACAGGGTATGGAAATGAGAAAAATGCCAAGAATTATAGGCTGAGAACAGAGCAAGTAATTAAGACAATATCACTGAATGGTAGAGAAGCCAAAGAGGAAAAGGAAGCCTGAGAAAAGACCATTGAATTTGGTTGATACAGAAGCAGTTTCAGTAGAGTATAAGAAGGGTAGATTGCAAGAGATTAAGAAGTTCAAGGTTGAGAAAATAGACTCTATACATAAACTGTTCTTTCAGGGAAGGAGTCCACTGGTGAAGATAATCATCACTTGATTGGAGCAAAGTCCAGGGAAATTTGAGTATGTTTGTTGGCTGAATGAAAGGCTCAGTGAAGTAGGAGTGCTTGGAGTTGTAAGGAAGAGAAGATAATTGCTATAGGGTGGTCCTAATGTACTGGATCCCAAACCTGAATGCATGTTGGAATCACCTGGGGAACTCGTTACATGGGCAAATTCTCAGGCAACATCTTACATCTAACAAAATAATATTCTCTGGAGGTTTGTCTCCTGGAGCTTGTTGTGAACAAATTCTTCTACATGATTATGATATATTCATAAGGACAAACAAGTCAAGATAATTAAAGGTGCTGGTGAGGATATCAGTGAAATAACTAACCTTATCCAAAATGGTTAGAGAGCCAGATGGGTAAGAATAGAGGCGTTGGATGATGAACTATGAAGGTGTTGGCTTTCATTATAAAGTAAGTGAGCACAGGTTCAATAGGAATGAAAAAACTGGGAAAGTTAAAAAGGTAGTAGATTTTGATCAGAAAGGGAAGTTTCAGAATTCAGGATCCTGGAGGCCAAGCAGATAGAAAATATAGCTATATGTGTTTGATGAGGAAAAGAGGGAAAAAGAACTGAGTGGTGCACACTGTAAGATCTATCAGTTCGGTAACTGATCCAGGACAGTGTTTTAAAAGGGGAAAAAAAGTATAAGATTTGGGGATCAAGAAGAAACACAAAGGTTGAATCAGTCTGGAACTATTTAGACTTAAGATTCTACAAAAGCTTGCCTTGGGTTTCTTTTAGACCTTTTCCAGTCTTTTAGAACATTTAATATAAAAATATTACCTACCCGGGTTTACAGTGTTCTTTGAGTATCTGTTATCCATTCTAGCTTTTACTTTAATAGTGGATACCTGACATTCACAAATATGAAATGCAGTTTTGACTGGCCACAAGTGACTCTAAGGGTTCATGTCATGGGTACAAAGCACATGTATGTGAATCTGCCCAAAACTGACTTGTAGAAACTAGTCACGTAATGACTTGTAATGAAGTTGGTATTTACATCTCAGTTTACCTTTAATATAAGATTGTATTAATCATCAGAATACTGCAGCCTGCTAGGTTTCACCGAAGAAGAAATTATTTGCCAAACTGTGGTATTATATGGGCTCAAAATTAATTGAGTTTTACAACTTCAGTTTAAAGCATTTTAGCACTGCTCCTAGCATGTAATTATTTAATAAATGGTAGCTACTGATGCTAGTTCAGGAATTCATCAAGTTTTAAAGACACATCTTTTTATGTATATCCAGGTTTAAAGAATAGAATTTCTCTTAAAATTTTGCTTTGATTCAGGATCTCCATGATTTATTAAACTGGAACTAGAATATGAAATTCACAGCTGAATTAGAAGGAGAACAGTGGGTCATTTATCACTTATCTATTCTGTTGGAAATATCTGAAAGGGAGTATATTTTATAGGTAATTCATATTATGTTGCTATTATGAAAAATTGCAGCTTTTGAAACATCCTTTGGCTATGTTTCCATACCACAAAAGACATGTAAGGAACAAAATGTATTACATTATTTATTTTGTTTTTCTTAGAGATTTAGTGTACCTGAAAACCAATAATCCTGTTTTTGCTAAGTAGTTTTCTCTCTCAGTGTATTATATACTTACATAACTGTTTTTGCTTTATAGTGACGAGCTCAGAAAAGAAGCAAGACAGTTAAAGCGGGAACTCTTAGCAGCAAAACAAAAAAAAGTAGAAAATGCAGCAAAACAAGCAGAAAAGAAAAGTGAAGGTAAGGATATTTATCAGGATTTTTATTTTCACTTGGTACATTTCCTTCTTCCCTCCATCTGCTCTTCCTTTTCTCCTCTTCCTTCCCTTTCGCTTCTTTCCTTCCCCCTTGCTTCCTGAGTTTTCCATTTTTTTTTTTTTTTTAATACTTGCTTTGGGTAGCTAGCCAATAAAATAAATTTCTTGTTAGGATTTTTGTCTAAAGTAAATTCAGGCAAACATGATCATAACTATTATTCTAAAAAGCTTAATGAAAACTAACAGACTTGACATCAGACAAAACTTAAATACCATAACACATATCTAGGAGGGCACAAGAATGGAATGTTCATTTTTTATATTGTACACCCTTTAAAACATTAAGAAAAGCATTTAGGCCCTATGTTTGGGACTTCTATAAACATTTTTGCATTGGTTTGAAATAGTATGAAGTATAAAGTCTTGTTTTTTATTTGTTTGTTTATGTTAAGACACTGAAAATCTAAAATACTAATAAAGCTGATCAAAAAGCAACCAAAATAATACCCTGCTGTTTATACGGGTTAAATGTGTTCTTCGTTTTACTGTGATTTTTATGACGCTAAAAGGGCTTTTTTTTTTTTTTTTAAGATTTTATTTATTTATTTATTTGACAGACAAGAGATCCAAGTAGGCAGAGAGGCAGGCAGAGAGAAAGGAGGAAGCAGGCTCCTCCCTGCTGAGCAGAGAGCCCGATGTGGGGCTCGATCCGGACCCTGGGATCATGACCTGAGCCAAAGGCAGAGGCTTTAACCCACTGAGATACCCAGGCGCCCCTAAAAGGGCTTTTTAAAAGTTGTTTCACTGATGATTCTTAGTTTAAAACTGTTTCAGCTATAAAACATGTAATGGCCAATTTCCAAATTAACAGATTGGAACCCTCTGTTTTCTTTTCACAATAATAAATTACATTATAGATTCAGTGAACATGATCAGAAATTTTATTCTTAGCTTTAATAATATGTACTAAATTTAGCTTAACAAATCTGCTTTATGCATATGTCTTCTATATTCTTGTGCTTTTTGGATACCAAAAAGTACTTTTATGTACCAGATTCTATCACAGTTATTGGAGATAAATCAAAGAATAAGATGCCACATCTAGCCTTAAAGATTTCATATTCTGATAAAGAACATCATAGGCATTAGTACTGACTTTAAGTAGCAAAAGTAATACCACATAACTATCTAAGGGACATAGTTCTTAGATCATTTACAGCATATCCCCCACTGACTATTAGAGTAAATAAAGGCAGGTACTTAATGATGAAGTCAAAGTCACTGAAATATATTTGAATGAAACTACTAAAAAACTAACTCACTTGTAATAACACAAATTATAAGCTGAATTTAAAAGAAAGGGTAAACTTATGTATGACTAGGTCATGTAGGTAAAGTATAACCCAGAAGAGAAACAAGCTATATTGGCAATACCGAGATTTGAAAGAAGTACGGTGAGGGTTATTTTATTTTTAAGTCTATATGTAATTTTCTCAGAGTATTGTTCCTAATAATTAAAAGCATTTTAAATATATCAAAGTAATTCCTTTCAAATAGAAAAAGCTTTTCTAATTTTTTAAATTCATTTTTTAAAATATTTTAATTAAAAAATTAAATTTTTTTAATTCATTTTTGAGCTAATAATTATTAGTATGCCCATGTCTCAAGAACCATGCAGGGCCAGAGGGATGAAGTTGGCAAGAGATGGATGATTCTTGCTTTGTAGTTTATGATCTAGTAGAAGTGAGAGAATTGGAAATAGATAATTATTGTAATAGTGCTCTACAGTTAAGGCTTATATTAGATACAAGCAGTGCTATTTTAACTTGATCTGCCTTTGAAATATTAAATACAATTAAAGATTGAATCTTAGAATGATTTCTTAACACAAAACAGAAGACTCATCTATAGCTTATGTCAGTCTATTTATGAGAAAATTAGCCATGTTAAAACCTTTTTTATGCCATAGTTAGAGAATTAGATTAGTTAGTAAGTACTTTCCTGAATTTAATGTTGCTTATATCTTTGAGAAATACCTGGATTTTCCTTAAATTTGAATGTCAGCTAAAAATTAGCTTCCACAAAAAGTGGGGCATTTTACTAATTTATTTTTGATTGTTTTATTTTGAAATAATTTTAGAACTACAGAAGTTACAGAGTTCCCATATACCTTTAATGTTAAGGTCATATATCAATATAATACAATGATTAAAACCAAGCAATTAAAGTTGATACATTACTATTGACTACAGACCTTATTAGAATTTCACCAGTTCTCCCACTAACGACCTTTTTCTGTTCAATATGTCCATCCAGAATTCCATATTGCATTTAGTCCTTGTGTCTCTTTAGTCTCCTCTAATCTGTGACAATTCCTCAGTCTTTTCTTGTCTTTCATGTTCTTGACACTTTGAAGAGTCCTGGTTAGATATTCTGTGGACTGTCTTACTTGAGTTTGATGTTTTCTCATGATTAGATTAAGGTTATACATTTTGGGGGCAAGATTGCCAGAGAAATGATATGTTCTTCCCAGTGCATTATAAGATTACCTATTGTCTTTCTACTCATGATACTACCTTGATCATTAGCTTAAAGTAGTGTCTGTTGAGCTGTTACATTTCCCTTTGAGATTTTAAGTATTTAGGGAAAAAATACTTTGAGACCATCTATCCTGTTACTTTTCAAGCTTCCCCCCACTAATTTTAGTATCCATTGGTGGATCTTGCCTATAGACAACAGTTATTTACTGTGATGTTCTAATGGTTACTCTTTATTTCCCTGATTCCCACTATTTTTAATACTTGTAATTCTTCTATAAGAAAGATCACTTTCTATTTATAGATTTACTTATTTATATCAATTTGGGCTTGCGAATATTTATTTTGTTCTATGTGTTATAATCCCAAACTATCATTATTTATTTTGTTGTTCATACAGTACCAGAATTGGTCATTAGTAGTTCCTTCAGGTTGGCTCCTATGTCTTTGCAACTTGCTCCCAACTTTGAGCACATTTTTACTTTTAAGCACAGAAGGCTCCAGGTTGATCTTGTGTTTTCCCCTCTCCAGGCCTGAAATCAACCACTTCTCCAAGAAATTCTGGTTTTCCATTGTATTTGGCACTAAGAAACCAAGACCTAGGCACTAAGTCAGTCTTTATTTTGATTCTCATAATTTTACAGTGCTATTAGAAACAATATTTTTTTATCACCATCTTATTAGAATGCTGAACAAAATTTGCTTTTAGCCCCTATCTAGGATGCATTATGAATTACCTTTTTCTTGGAATTGTATTTCTTCTAAACTTATTTTACCTTTTTAAATTGACTAGTATGGCCAATGCTAGGAAATTGTATATTATGTAAGATTTGTGAATTTCAGCAAACACTACATTATATTTGAAATTCACATGTCCCTATGGAGTTTTTAAGTCTAGTTTTCCTTCTTGCCCCATGATTAAAAATGACACCATGAGACATATCACTGCACAGCATTTTGGAAACAAAGCAGAATTTTAAGCATCCCTGAATGTCAGAACTTAGCTTATCTTCCCAGCTGAAAGATATTCCATGGTTAGAACTATATAAACTCTGGGAACAGATCCAAATGTTCTCATAAGCATTTTCATAGTAAGATCATCACAGGGAAAGAAGCTGAAGGTATTATTTGACTTTGGCTCTATACCTTCATATATCAGCTGAACCTATTCAGGAAAGATTTCTTAATTGGGCTATATGGCTGCATATCTGGCTTTTATAAAACATTTTATTTTAATCCAAGACTTAATTATTTGAGTATTATCATAACTTTGGATGATTTGGTCTTTTGAATATTATATACTATATCTAGAAATTTAATTTGCCAATTAACTTAGAAGGAGATAATTGGTATTAAAAAGAGGCTTTTAGATACTTTGGTGTGTAAACTGTTGTATAATGTAGACATGTCTTCCATGTGAATTTCCTTCTGGATGCAGGTACCACATCTACTAATATAGAGAGGCTAAAAATATACTTATTTTGATATTTTTAATAGTAATTTTGATAGTAATACTAAGTGCTTATATTTAACACTAAAGGTTATAAGAATACTTTAGAGTATTAAATCTTCTCAAAAAATAAACAGGAATGTATTGAGATTTTAAAGTCCATTTACTAGCAGTGAAGTTATTTAAGCCTGTGTGAGTCCATTTTCTTACCATAAATCCAGATAGAAAATTGCTTTGTGTACCCCTCAAGTTTCTTCTAAGAAGTAAATTAGATAATGAGACCTTTAATAAATTTACAGTACTATATAAAAACAATTTTAAATTTGTAAGGAGAAAAATAAAGCTATTTTGCTTTCCAGTTTGTCCTATCGAAATCCCACAAATGGAAATTTTGAATTTTAATACTGTGTTAGTTGCAGTTAAAGCCTGTAATCAATACAGCTGTATAAAAATAAAACATAAATCAAAATTTCAAAATAAATATTTCTTTCATGTGCTTTCACAATTACATTTCAATAATCATTTTCTTTGTTAAAGGGTTTATATGTGAGCTTGTCTACATGCTTAAGTAAAGCATCCAGTAGTATTATTTCCTGATTTTATGAAGTTATCTGGCTAACACTTGCTGACTATTGCCACTTCACTTTAGAATTTAATGTAATATCCTCAGATTAAAAGTACTTGGGAAGATACCCATCAGAACAAAAAAGCTTTGTATTCTAATGCCCGTGCTTTAATCGACCCATTTTTGGCCTTGTGTGAGTTGGCGGCCTCCCACTTAGCGTTTAGCCAAGTGTTCTAATAGATGTGATACTTTATCTGGGCTTCTGTTGTCTAAGGAAATCTCCTTTGGTCAGAGTAATAATCCTTTGGTTTTATACTCTTTACCCAGTTTCTTGAGCCAGATCCTTAGCCAGATTTATATAGGCAAACAGGAATTTATATTCTAGCTATAGCTATACTTCTAAGTCTCTTCTATCACCTCAGGACCCATCT